AAAACTCAGTAAAACATAGGAAACAAAAAACATATATCATGTACTAAGAACCCCAAAAAAACCAAACATTCACTCTCATCAAGTCGGTTCTGACTCAGAGCAACCCTATAGGGCAGGGCAGACCTGTCCCTGTGGGTTTCCAAGACTGTAACTCTACGGGAGTAGAAAGCCTTGTCTTTCTCCCCACAGCAGCAGGCAAATTCCAGGGAGCGGGGAGGATCCAAATGGCAGTATTTTAAAAGGCCATGAAGCTGCACAGATAAGCAGGGCAAGGAACCATAGAATAAAATATGCTCTCTTCATTTCCAAAATAAAATGGCCAAGAGGTCACATGTGGGTGAGAGGTGGGGATGGACCCACCCACAGGGAAAGGCCACCTGGCAAACTGTTTTATAGTCCAATTGTCAGCACATATCAACATCCAGATTTTATATACATTTACGTCCTAGAGAAAGATGTACACTTATGTACACAGAGCCACGTTATGAGCCTCCAGCACCATACTGCACACAAGTTTTGCCTGTTCCGAGCAGCAGCAGAGTCCCTGCAGCTGGAAGGCAGTGAGGTGAGGAAGGAGGGAAGGCACCGATAATAAATAGGACTGGAAAGGTAGAGCAGTGAATGATGTAATGCTGCTCTTCTAGTCAGAGTCTCTGCCAAGAGGAGAGGGGGGACACTGATAGGATTCAGTTGTGTGTGACTGACTGCGAGCAGGATTGATTCTGATGGCCATCCTGCTGGGGTGTCAGAAGCATGCAGGACGAGGAGCTCACCACCAGCGAGAGAAAACCCAGGAGGGGAGCACGCCCTTTGGACTTCACATGCCTGCATATGGACCCTCAAAAGCAAGAACAGCAAGGGAGTAGCAGGAGCAGATCCAAGAGGCAGAGCAGGAGACAGAGTGACGGGCTTGTAGCCCACAGAGCAAGCAAAGCTGAGTGGCTTGTGGAGTGGAGTACCTCCAGGCACTTAACTGGGGAAGCTAGGTTTGCTGACCCACGGAGCTATTCTTGAGCACCTGCTGGCTGAGACTAAGGTCTAGTGGGGTGCCCTTTAGGCACTGACTGGCAGCTCTAAAAGCTTTTGTCTGCCTGCACAAGCCGCCAGGGGAGGGGTCACTGGGCCCTGTGGCTGAGAGGCCAAAGACCAGGGAAAGGCTTGCCTTCAGGCACAGCTGAGAAGAGGCAGTCTCTTCTGAATAATTGTATCTTAGGTATTTGTTATCTGTTAACTTCCTTAACAAGACCCACAATCAGGAGTATTGTGCGTGGTCACTGTGATGGATTATCGAACCAAATTGAAAAGTAGAGGGGTGAGGGGGTGACAGTTGGTGTCAGAATTGGGATGGGGGAGCATGCCTGACTTCAGCCTCATAGAAGTCTGCCTTAGGCGCAGCTATTAGGGAGTTTGAGTCTCCCTTCCTCTGGTAAAGGGAACCCACAGGGGCAGTTCCCCACTGTCCTGTAGGGTCATTATGCATCCACACTAACTTGGCGGCAGTGGGTTTTCTTGTAAAGTTAGAGGAGGTTGGATGTGACACCCCTGTCCTTTCTTCTCTTTCACAGGTAGAAATGTGCCAAACTGTAGTGTTTGGGAGACCATGGGAAGGAATCTGATTTAAGTATGATGGAAAGACGCTGGAAGGTTCTGAACAAAGGAGTCGTGATATTTCTCATGCTTCTAAAAGGTCATTCTGCTGTGGGTGAGGAATAGGTGGCTAGGAAGCCAGTGTGCAGCCATGAGGCAGAGCCTTCTGACGTGGGCTGGGAGCAAGACAGCTGCAGCTCACACTCACGGGTGGCAGTGTAGCTGGAGAGAAATGGCTCTCTTTGTTCAGGGGAAGGAGAGGCTGGCTGCTAGATGTGAAGGGGCTGAGGTCAGAAGACATGTTTTGTTTTTTGTTTTTTTATATTGTTTTATTAGGAGCTCATACAACTCTTATCACAATCCATACACACATCAATTGTGTAAAGCACATTTGTACATTCATTGCCCTCATCATTCTCAAAACATTTGCTCTCCACCAAAGCCCCTGGCATCAGCTCCTCATTTTTCCCCTCCCTCCCCACTCCCCTGTCCTTCATGAACCCTTGATAATTTATAAATTATTATTTTGTCATATCTTGCCCTGTCCGACGTCTCCCTTCACCCACTTTTCTGTTGTCCGTCCCCTAGGGAGGAGGTCACATATAGATCCTTGTCATTGGTTCCCCCTTTCCAACCCACCCTCCCTCCACCCTCCCAGTATCACCACTCTCACCACTGGTCCTGAAGGGATCATCCGCCCTGGATTCCCTGTGTTTCCAGTTCCTATTTGTACCAGTGCACATCCTCTGGTCTAGCCAGACTTGTAAGGTAGAATTGGGAACATGATATTGGGGTGGGGGGGAGGAAGCATTTAGGAACTAGAGGAAAGCTGTAGTTTTCATCGTTGCTACATCGCACCCTGACTGGCTCGTCTCCTCCCTGAGACCCGTCTGTAAGGGGATGTCCAGTGGCCTACAAATGGGCTTTAGAGAGGACAAGATTTGTCTTGTGTTTCTGGGACACAAAGATAGGTGGTGCCATTCTTGGGACATGGCACGGAACTCTTCCTGGTGTGAAATATCATCGAAAGGACTTTCACCGGAACAACCAGACCGAAATCATGAGAACAGTCCCTCGCTGTGAGGACTGTAACCAATGCCACTGAACGACCTGTGCGGAAATTGTTGAATAAGTACGTGCCCTGCTGTGCAAACCCTCACCAATGGACACGTGCCCTGCTGTGCAAACCCTCACCAATGGACACGTGCCCTGCTGTGCAAACCCTCACCAAGCGACACACACAGTCACACACACAGACACAGTCACACAGACATCCACACATCCACACAGAGATGTACACATACACGCACGCACACACACAGATACACACAAGCATACACGTACACACACAGGCGCACAGGCACGCACACACACACACACACATTTTAATCACGTGACTAAGTAATAAGAGTCACCAAAGACAGAGAGAGCTAGGAATGGGGAGGACATGCTTCATATTTATTGGTTCAGGGTGAAGGGTAATAAAATTTCTAAATTTTCTTCTGGACAAGACACATTTCCAACTCCCTCTTTTCTCTTCATTTTAAAGAAACCAGCTGCCATCGAGACAGCTCCAACTCACGGCAACCCTGTGCATGTCAGAGTTGAGCTGTGCTGCAGCCGGGGCTCACGGCTGTGGCCTTGGGAGAAGCAGCTGGCCAGGCACCTCCAGGGAGACTCCACCAGCCGACTTGGTGAGCCGCTCGCTGAGTGCGGTTTGCACCTCCCAGGGCCTGAAACGCTAGACAGGCTCTGGGACCAAGGTGGCAGCTTTGAACCCGACTCAGTAAAAACACTGCCCAGAAAGCTCTGGAAGCCACGGCTATCTATCTTTGCTCTCCCCTCAAAGTCATTGTCCCCTCCTGCAGCTCTCTGCTCTCATGAAGGCAGCACAGGCAGTCCCCTGGGCTAAGACATGGAGTTTGGATGTGAGTCTGCCAGCAATGGGAAGAAGCCATGGAGTAAGAACGATGCCATCGAATTTACAGCCCGGTGTGCAGAAAACACACAGTAAGGGGTTCCAAATGGGCACAGGGAGACCAACTTGGGGCCACTGTATCTCCAGGGGATGGAGGTGGGTTTTCTAGGAGGAGGGTGGGAGTGGGGATCATGGTGGCAGTGGCAGTATGGATCGGAACAACTAGATGGATGGTGGTGCACTGACATGGCCTATCAGGGATCTTTGCAAGTGGTAGACGGGGGTCATCAAAGTGGAAAACCAAAACTCAAACTCACTGCCATCAGGTCGATGCCAACGCATAGAGACCCCGCCGGGCAGGGTAGCCCTGGGCGTGAGGATGCCGAGCTGAGTGTCTGCGCCTCTTCGAGTTTCAGAGACTGTCTCTTTACGGAGTAGAAAGTCCCATCTTTCTCCACAGGGGTGGCCGGTGGTCTCTAACTGCTGACCGTGTAGTTCGAAGACCAACACCTAACCACTACGCCACCAGGGAGGTCAAGTATAACGAGTAACAGCAGATGAGTATCACAAAAGAATCTCTTCAAGGTACTACCAGCCAAAAGGTCATACTACATCTGCGCTAGGCACAGAAGCACCGGGTCTGTGGTCTGTCAGGATGTAGGGAAGCGAATGGCTGGCTTATATGTAAAAGCATACCCCTCCCCTCCAAGGAGAGGTGATGCTCTTATGCCTGCTACATCTACCGGCGGGCCACAATGGGGCACCATTTGTGTGGTTTCACTCACACCCCTCTGACTCCCTTCCTTCCACCATTTCCAGAATTAGCAGCTTCCCAAAGGACCCATCAAAATGGGGTGGGCAGTTCTACCTTACAAATCCAGCTAGACCAGAGCACGCACAAGGGTACAGATAAGAGCTCGCAGCACAGGGAATCCAGGACAGATAAACCCCTCAGAACCAATCATGATAGTAGTGATACCAGGAGGGTAGGGGGGAGGTGGGGGTTGAAAGGGGGAACCAATCGCAATGACCAACGTATAACACGTGCCCCCCCACCCCAGGGTGATGAACAACAGAAACATGGGTGAAAAGAAACAGCAGTCATTGTAAGACATGAAAAAAAAATATTTTTATAAATTATAAAGGGTTCATGAGGAGGGAGGGGGAAATAAGGAGGAGCTGATACCAAGGGTTCCAGTAGAAAGAAAATGTTTTGAGAATAATGATGACAACAAATGCACAAATGTGCTTGACACAATGGATTGATGTATGGATTGTGATAAGAGCTGTAAGATCCCCCAGTAAAATGCTTTTTTTTAAAAATGAAGGCGGGCTGGGGGGGGGGGGGGGGGGTGTCCTCCAAATTAACTATCCATCTTGACACGCCCCTTGACGTTAGGATCTGAATCTACCCACTTACTGCTTAGTCGCGGGGGCACCAATGTCCCAAGGGGAACCACCATCTCTCGCCAAGCCAAACATGAACACTACCTACCTCGGTGAAGAAGCCCGAGATCCCGGCCTGGCAGGAGCCGTGTTCCTCACCGTACTTCTTCTTGTACTCTGCAGGGGCATAAGGGAGAGAAGCAGAGGGCAGCCAGGTCAGGGGGAGCCAGGCCTGGAGGGGTGGGGGGCTGGGGAGACCACCACTCTGAGCCCACCGGGGCCTTCCAGAGTGGAGGGCAGAGGGGAAGTCTCCGGAACCCTCAGAGTTCAAATTCCTGGCTCTAGTGCCCTGGGAGAGTGAGGCTGCCCAGTGCCCTTGCACACTTCCTTGGCTCGTACTGGGAATTCGGTTGGAGGTTGGTGACGATGACTTCATGACTTCAGAAAAGATGGGGATCCCTAACAGGATCTGGTGCTGAGAAGACACCCCGGAGATGGAATAATGTGGATCCGGAGCTGAGAAAACACCCCGGAGATGGAATGACGCAGCCACCCCCCAGTGTGGAATCTCCCGGAAGAAATCCCAAGCCCACTGTGACGGAGTAGATTCTAACTCCCAGGGGCCTTAACAGACATGGGGTTCCATAGCCCCATTGGGTTTCCACAGGCTGTGAATCTTTAAGGAAGCAAATTGCTACAAATGTCTGGTGGGCAGTCAAGCACCATCTCCGGTCCATCAAAGGACCTGCAACCCAGGGCAGTGACCACCTGTTTGAAATCATGAGAAGTATGCTCAACTCAAACCAAACTCATCGAGCCCATTCAGAGTCATAGGGAACCATAGGGCAGGGCAGAACTGCCTCTGTGGGCTTCCCAGACTGTAACTCTTTAGAGGAGTAGAATGCCCCATCGGTCTCCCATGGGGCAGCTGGTGGTTTCGAACTGCTGGCCTCCAGGTTAGCAGCCCAACTCGTAACCACTACGCCACCAGGAATCCTTCGATGCTCAGCTCAACTGCCTTCAACATGCCCACTGCCTGACACTGGCTCCTGGGCTGCCTCCCGGCACCATCCGCCTGAGGCCACCCAACAAATAGCCCAGTGACCCCCACGCCAACCCTGGGCTCTTGGCAGGTCTCTTCCACCGCTGAAAGCACGATGATTATTTTTGAAACACAATAATTAATACAGAGGAGCGAGGAAGCCACGATTGCACCACTGGGCCACTTCCGGTAGCATCTGCTTGCGGTGGAGGGGGAAAAGGGCTCTGGGGAATTAAGCAGAGAGATCCTGCTCACTCGCTCTGAACAACACTCACCGCCTGGCCTGGTAACGTTTTCCAGTAAGGGGCCATTAACCAAAGGCTAAATTGCAAAGGAATGTCAATTGCGATCCTCCCCTTCCCTGGGAGGGCTGGCCCAGCCCTCCCCGCCTTGTCCTGTTATTACATGGAGTACTCACAGGCTGGCCAGCTAGCAGCCCGGAGACAAATGGCACTCGCTCACTGTGTGCAAAAAAACTAGCAGGGGGCGGGGGTGGGGGAGTGGGGGCACTGAGAGCAGGGTTTGTTCAAAGTCACAAGCCAACCATGCCTCAACGACAAGGAATCAAAATGTTCCAACCTAAACAAACAGTTATGTTAAATATAAAGCTGGAAGGTTCTGGCCAAAGGGGGGATGGGGGAGCACATCCACCACCCCCCCATGGACTCTGTCAACCACCCACTTGTTAACTCTTAAAAAAGTACAAAGGAAATGGGCCCCCCACCCCACCCCGGAGCTGGATGAAACTAGGATGCTGCACCAGTTCTGCCCCATCAATTCAGCGCATGAGTAAGAATGACTAGGGGATCTTTCATCTTCTGGAAGCAAATGGTCTCAAGGTCTCTTGGTGGCAGGGGCTCCAGGATATGCAGCTACAGGATCAGGATCAGCGCCTGCCTCCAGACGCAGCCTCTCTGTGACGGCTGCGCTGGCACAGCAGCACCCTATCCTCTGTGAGAGAGCGCTTTATGGCTACGGCCTGCCACTTTAGCGCTTTATGACTATGTCCCTGAGCTCCCGGACCACTGCCCTTTGAACTTTGACTTGCTCTGACCTTCCACTCCTGCCCCGTGATTGCCTCTCACCCACTGGCTCCCTGAACCTCATCCCAACCCACCTGCAAAAGACTTGTGTTCTGAGTACAACTGGGCTCCAGACCTGACAGTCCCACTGAGTCACAGAGGCCTGTGGGGATGGGGGGAGGGGGAGGGAATGTACAATACAAGGACCAAGCCTCCCGAGATGGGGGCTTTCCCACCAGAGCACTGCCTGATGCTACTACCGGCCATTCTATTCTGACACGGACCTCAGGAGGATGTGGGTAGAAAGCTCGGATTCAGTCCTCCAATCCCTGCCTGTTCCCTAGCCTGACCCTTCATGGTCTGTCCTTAGAGATCTGTGAGGACCACAAATGAGCGCAGTCACCCCAGGAGACCCAGGCCCCTTGGCTGCAGCAGATGAAGTCACTATGGCTGCACTGAAGTCCCGCCCTCTTCTGTAGGCTGACCCCTCTGGAAACTGAACGGAGCCCCTCCACAGACATGTACTAAGGCCATTCCCCATCCCCAGCACCTTGAGATGTAGCAGCAGTATCTGGCGAGCCGAGGTCTCCCCAAACCCAAGTTCTGCACCTAGCACAACCTGCCCCTTTCCAGTCCAACCAAACCCTGTGCCAAGATGCAGCAGCCAGGCACTAGGCCCCAGCATGGCTTACTCGTTTTGTGCTTGGGGGTAACACTTACCCAGAGCTGAGATGGCAGGAAGCCTCCACCAAGGGTGCGCCGCCCCCCCACCTCCCGCCCCCAGCATCCAGAGACCCAGGTCACACACCACCCCATCCATTGAAAAGTCCAGGAAGTACAGGGTGGAGGGACCCAGGGTGGGGCCTCCAGCCTCCTACATTCCCAGGAAAAACTTCTCCTGCACCAACACAAAGGCCGTGAGACGCCCCAGGCTGTCATCCGTGGGCATGTCTACCGGGCCTCCATTGGCTCAAGGAAGTGAGCCAGCCAGAGAGGGCTGAGCTATACTCGCATCGTCTCCGTTTTGGAAGAAACCTTCTATCCACCTCGGAGAAGCAGGGGAGGAGGCAGCTTGGCATGACAGCAGCTCGCAGATGCTGACCTGAATCCAACTCCGTTGACTTTGGGGAGGATGAGTCTAGGAAGTCGGAGGTGGCACGGACAAGTCAGGAACAGGTTGGAAAAGTCTCTTTCTGTTCGGGGTGGGTTTGAATTAATTGGCCTGCATCACAGACTTTAGTGCATTTGGCCGTATGGCTCCTCCGTTCTAAAAATGGTAGTATTTTCCCTGGTTCGGCTGCTGGTTTTCCTAAACCCTGTCTACACAGGAGGCAATTCAGGGAGGACGGCACGTTCGTTTCCAAATGTTCACGATGCACAACTCAAATGCTTGGAGCCTGCACTGAGGACTCTTAATTCATTCAAGAAGGCTCCAGATGGGGCGGGTCACTTCCTGCCCCCCTGCCACAGCCCTGCCTCAGTAAGGATGAAGCCGTTCCACAGAAAAGACGGTGGGCCAAAAAAACAAAATGTTTCTACAAACTCACAAAGCGTAACATGTGAAGCTCTTGTTTCTCGACACACTCTCCATCTCGGTCTACACCCGTCTGAAGATAGTGTTCCCATCTCTCTCACCCTGCTCCAGGAACTAAGTGCTCTTCAATTGAAGCCACAGTTGCTGAAACAATGGGGTGGGCTTCCTGAAGGGGCTCAGAAGGTGTATCTTTCGAAGTGTTCTCCAAGTTTGGGGAACAGGAAGATATCTGAAGGACTAAGATTAAGACTGTAGGGTGCACAGGGTAAGGTTCCTCAACCAGACTTCTGTAGGACGGCAAAATTGGGATAGAAGAAAAATTCCTCGACTCCACATTCCTGGTCCTCCTCTCTCCAGTGCAGCTTTTCATTTTCTTAAGATTTCTTCACAATCAGTCCCCGCGGTTTGTCCTGCGTCCCTCAAGAAAATGCATCACAGTGACCCCTTTGGGGTCACCATAACCTTCTGAGCTCATCTCTCTGCCTTGAATTGAACGGAGCCAGAAGTCCTGGGATTCGTTGTCATAATTTCTCATTCTATAACTCATTTAGGAACCCTGGTGCCTAGTGGTTACGTGTTAGACTTCAATCTTCATGGTTGGCAGTTCGAAACTACCAGCTGCTCCTGGGGGGGCAGTCGCTATGAATCAGCATCAACTGGATGGGAGTGAGTGAGGGATTACTCATTTGGGAAAGCTTCATTATTGAAGGCTAGTCTTTTTAGCCTATCAATTCCAAGTCGAGTTTCCGTAGTTCCTTAGCTTAGGCATGGCATAAAGCAGTAGGGGAGAGATGGCCTGAATACCAGCTGAAAGATCGGTGCTATGAACCTCAGTAGAGGCACCCAGCACACAGGCCAGGCCGTCTGCTTCTGAGAGGTCCCACAGCCTTCAAACCTCGGGAGACATTTCTACACTGCACACCCGGGGCCCCCAGGAGTCAGAATTGGCTCCAACATACACCACTAACTATCTTAAAATAGTTCTAAGTTTCCAGAGCGGTGTGACTGTAAATAATAAGCAAGCAACAATTTAGGGGCCGAGGCAGTCAAGCGGACAGTTCTCTTGTCATCAGAAGGGTGAGGACACACAAAAAGAGAGGGCAAGAGTCTTGTCAGTTATAAGGATCGCTGTCCAACGAGGAAAGGAAGACTCAAAACAGGTGCTCTAAAGAGCTAGGTGAGAGACTGGGAGATGAGTGCTGACTGGTGGTGCAGTGGTTAAGCACTGAGATGCTGTCTTCTTTCTTACAGGCAGGGAATTACTGGATATGGCTCATCTAGCCTTAGTGCTTACAACTCCCTCAGGATGACTGTCCCCAGTGGGATGGGTAACAAGGTGGGAGAAGATACTGATAGGATTGGATCATTCAGCTGTGAGTGATTATCAATCATGATTGTCCTCCTGTGGGGTATCTGAACCATCTCAGACACCAGGGAGGGAGGAGCTCACTACCAGAAAGAAAAAAGAGGCAGAAGTGGAGCACATCCTTTGTACCCCAGGATCTCTGCATTGAACCTCCGTGAGCCAGGAGATAGCTTTGACACTAAAGGAGCAATGGAGGAGTGGCAGAGGAATGGC